ATGTTTTATATTTATATGTATTATGTATAAATATATATAAAATCATTGAATGATGTGCTATTCCCTTTCTTTTGGCTACCCTTAGGGAAATTTGGATTATTGACTCGTGGCCAAATGTCCGACAAAATTGTTCCCGTGGTGGTAGCTGTTTGAGATGTAGAGATAATATCTAAGATGAAATAAAACAGCCCGTGAAAGTCTAGGTCAAGGGTACGGGAACTTTCTCTTACAAATCTGGACTGAGAGCTTCCCTTGAAGAGACGAAAGCTCTGACAAGGCCAGGTCCCCATTTCCACATGGAAACAACCAGCAAGAGCTGCCCCTTCCCAATAATCTGAGTGCTCTGCAGACCATCTTGGTCCTCACAAGCCAAGATTAACGTCACTGGCCTGGTCCTGGAGACGTTTGAGTTTGTGATGCCTGATCGAGGCTTATAGACTCACATCCAGAGTTCCAGTAAGCATCCCACATACTTAACATTCTTATTCTTTAGAGGAGAATTTATTTTTATTACTTTGGAATAGACTCCCTTGCCTTTTTGAAATATTTTAGTTCTTTGAATTTTAACCAGAGATTGGAACACTGACGGTCCTCATCTGTACTAACGAGCCACTTTGTGCCATCAATTTGCCTTTGAACATACTGTAAAAAGTAGAGTAGAGAAACTCTGGACTCCAGTGTCTGATTCCTCACACCAAATCCACAAATTTCTGTTTTACCTTCTAGCATAATCAAGAAGGAAAGTTCACAGCGGCTGATTGAAGAATAACTCCTTAGAAATGAATAATAAACACCTGACAAGCCTGCTGTCTCCAAAGCAAGACATCCCCTGACATTCAGTATTAATGGTATGACCTATATATTGTTGGGAAAATTAATGAGTACATATGTCAAGTAAAATCCATTTAGTAAATGAAAACTGTTTGAGTTCTACACCATTATCCTCACATAGAGGTAGACCAACATGTATGCCTTGGTAGAGTCAGGAACAGGAATACAATTCATGTCACTAAGTATGGAGACAGAGTCTTTGCCTTGGCATTGATGATGTCCTTCCATGTCAGGTGAAGTTCTTAATGCCTTTACGTTTTCAGTAAAATTGAGATCATTGGGCAAAAGGAACACCTAGTGTAGGTAAAAGCTCTAGGATTAAGAACCTCAAACTCTCTATCATTTATTTTCCTGCTTGCATTTCAGAAAAGAAAAGAAAACAAAGATCTTTAATGGTAAGTATTCCAGCCTAGAGGGTTAAGAAATTTGGTTTCATTTTCCCCATTTGGAGATGCCCCCTACCCCGCCTCTGGCATGTGCTGTGACACATCGAAAACACAAATATGTAACCAAGTAATTCCTGTGGAGAAATCCTTAAGACAAACCAAGAAAAAGTCATTGGAAAACGAAATGTTCCTCTTTTGAGATCATTCCTGGGGCATTTTGATGCCGGTCCCAGACTCACCTTCTACGTCAGTTTCTCTTAAACAGAGAGGAACTTGGAAGCTCATTCAAGCATTTTAATGACCTCAGATAGAGAGCAAGAGCCTGGGGGCTTTTTCTGAGTCAGAAGGAAACTGCTGTAGGGTGAGAGTCCAAACCCTACGAAGTTACCAACTACGAGAGTAAGGCAACACCAAATGGGAGAAGTTCTCACTGTTTTCCAGGATAGCAGCCTTTTATTTTCTCCAATTCACAAGTTCATTTTGTGACTACAGTGCCTATCAATGACAGGGGTCCATTTAAACTCCGAAGAGAGAAAAAGAAATGCACCTTGCAATCCCTAGGCCTGGGGCTTTGATCACACATCAAAAGGGGGGCATCCGTCCCCCAGTACACCCTCACCTTTACTGGAGGCCCAGGAGTTACCTGCCAGTAAGGACAATTGCATGCTCCACGGCATCTCCAAGGGTCTTCGGGCTCCAGAAGTCCACGTAGCTGGGATGCTCCCCCCTTTCCTGCATCTGGGACAGGAAGAAGCAGACCAGAAAACTCTCATCCTGCTCTAAAACAATGAGTCGAAGTAGAATTTCAAAAGGGAAAGGAGATACTGACTGAATGGCACCCTCCCAGAATGGAAAGGATGGGACGATTTTGTGCGGTAGGTGAGCCATCTCTGTAGTAGTTGGGTCTGGGAATCGTCAATAATATATGTATCCCCCAGCCGTCATGGGCCGAGACACTCAGCAGCTACTCAGTTCCTACAGAATGAGCGTAGGATGTTGGAAAGAGGCCAGGCTTGAGAGTCTGAAAGACTTAAATGTGAATCCTGGCTCTTCTGCATTATCTCTGGCTTTGTGCTTCTCTGCATCTCAGATTTTTCATCTCTACCTTCCTGTTAATAATATTTCCCTTCCAGGATTGTTATAAGGGTTGAATGAGATAATGTACCCCAAAGTACCAGGCACGTACTAGTCACTCCGTGGATGGTAACCATTGTGATTATTTTTATTGTTAGTGAATAAATGAGTGAGCAACTGAGTTTCCTTGCTCTTTCTCCCCATAGCACATTCTTGTAAAGCACTCTACTCGCTTTGGGTTTCTTTTTCCATCAAGGTGAAGCTCTGTCCTATCCTACCACATCCCCAGCAAAAACAAAAGACCAGGAAGTATTGGGCAGTCTAAAAAGTATACATATCTAATTGGGTAAGGCAAGTACCTAAGACATGGGCCACACTGTGTGTGTGATAGTGTTTTGTTTTGTTTTGTTTTCTCTAAAAGAAATGTCATTCTTTCTGAGATACAGAGTGGAGCATGTTTTGGATCAAGGCAAGAGGAGGGTTTCTTGTACTCTCAGATCAGAACTGGGGGTTTAGGGAAGAGCCTGATCCCAGACAGCACAGGACTCTGCTGAAGACCTCTTAGGTCTGGGTGGGGGGAGAGTGCACGTGTGTGTGTGTGTGTGTGCGCGCGCGTGTGAACTAATGAGCCAGCTCCCACGGAGCCGCCCCACTGGGATCCCACATTGATGTGCCGTGGCAAGAGCTCAGGGGGACTCTCGGAGAGCAGGACTTTCTCAGCCCTTCACCCAGAGCCTGCAGCCACAGCCCCCGTCCCTGAAGCGTCTCCGTTCACTGGATACCGGGATCGGCCTGGGCTCCTGGATGTGCCGGGCTCGGTGGTAGCAGGTCACCGCTCGACACCAGCTGCCTGCAGCTCGCCTGCTAGCAGGCCAGGGCATCACCAACTCGCCGGCTTCCCACATTTCAACAGTGACACCATGTGGCAGGGACAACAACCTGGGACTCCCCAACAGACTGAATATAGATTCTGGGTGGTTGTTTTTTTCCCTTGATGTAAATCTTTGGAGTGAGTAAGACCCTGAGATTCTTGTTATCGTGGGACAGGGCATCCCAGAGGTGAAAGCAATGTCTTCTACCGTAGAAAAGATGGGGGCTCAATCACTTCATCTGAATGTGAAAAGAAAACGGGACCATATGTTGTACCCAAATTGCACGTATTACTTAGACGGGTGATGACAGAACCCCAGGGCTGGAGGACCGTTCCTGCAGGGCACGGTGACAGAGGACAGGCTGTTCTTCCTACAGGCCCTGCGGAATTGTGGAGAGCAGGAACAGTCGGCGAGGACGGGAGGAGCCCTGGACACAGATGCTCTCAAGTGACGGTGCAGGTAGCCGGGCAGGCAGCCGCAGACAGTGCTAGAAGGAAGGAGAAGGCTGCCCCCACTGCCTGAGAGGCTGCAGTGCTGGATGGGACAAAAGGACGGTGGTGACAAGGGAAAACAAGCCCGAGTCATCCAGGCCAGGGGCAAGGCACGCTGTTGAGACGAGGATCTCAGACACAGAGACTGAATCAGGAGCACACTTATTACAACAAACCCGGGTCCTGATTCCAGGAAGAGAAAATAAGAGCCATTCATTCATTTATTCACTCAGCAAATACGCACTGAGACGTGCCCTATGCCAGATGCTCTCCTAGACACTAGGCAGCTAGCAGCATACAAAATGCCTGCTCGCAGTGCGTTTGCATCCAATCAGGGGTGATAGGCTATAAATACAATAAGTAAGAAAGTATATAGCAGATGCGACTAACACAGGATGGGGGCAGGAGGAGGTTCTAAGTGGGATGGCCGGGGAAGGCCTCTCTAGGAAGGGGGCCTGGGAGCAAAGATACAAAGGAGGTGAAGAAGTGAGCCATGAGGATCTTTGGGGAGCGAGGGCTCCAGACAGTGGGGACAGAGTGAGCCAAGGCACAGAGGCCAGAGCAAAGGCGGTGTGTCCGAGTAAGCGGAGAAAGGCCAGCGTGGCTGGAGTGAGTGGAGCCGAGGCCCGAGTGTCGAGGCATCACGTTGCATGGGATCTTCCTTGCAGGCCGTATCAGGGACTTGGCTTTCACTGTGAGTGGGGCGGGGCCCCTGGGAGGCTTTGGGCAGAGGTGCTGAGTGAGGCACTGGGGCCAAAGCGAAGACAGGTAAGCAGTAGGGAGCATCCGTGTGTTCACCATGAAGAGGGTGAAACGTGGCTGGATTCCAGATGCACTGGAAGGTAAAGCTGACTCATGTCCTCACAGGTCGGTTGTGATGTCTAAGGAAGAGCCACAGCAGGACCCCAGGAATTTTGGCCTGATCTGGAGTAGGCCAGGCCAGCCTGGGCAGTAGCTTTACATGGTCATGCCCCAAACCCACCAAGACAACAGGTGCCTGAAAAAAGGTGGTTGAATCTGGTCACAAACTGTGAGGATGGAAGACAGGAAACAAAAAGTCAAATGATCCCCAAAGCTCTATTTCAGATCCTGTACGGCCAAGGGAGCTCCGTCCTCAGGTTACACCTGACACTCGGGACGGCAAGTCCTCTGAGACTAGCCACACGTACGGGTCAGCTTTACTGTTCTGCTTCCCTCTTACTTGTACGGGGGAACAAATTAACTTATTTTTTATTTTTTTAAAGATTTTATTTGAGAGAGAGAGAGAGAGCGAGCACAAGCAGGGAGCAGGGGCGGAGCAGAGGGAGAGAGAGAAGCAGGCTCCCCACTGAGCCCCATGCCGGACTCCATCCCAGGACCTCGGGATCATGACCTGAGCCAAAGGCAGATGCTTCACCGACTGAACCACCCAGGCGCCCCAGGAATAAATTACCTTAAACACAGAGTGGGAAAGCATGTTTGTGAGGGTGCATGAACATATGACGAGAGCAGCCCTTCCTTATTTACCTTCTCCATCAAGCCATAAATCAGCAATCTTAAGCTGTCATCAACCCAGTCCTTTTCACAACCCTCCAGATACACATAACTGATGAATTCTACTTAACACGAGCATTCTTGTAGAGCCCGCTCGCGACCTCTGTCCTGTGTCCCATATATCAGCCAAGCCATCTCTCCTGTGTTCTGCCCTCCATCCCCCAGCTTTCCCGAAAGCCAACAGACCAGTACAGCCTCATGCCTGGTGCAAATTCAGCCTCTTTTTCGAGACCCTATTGCTTGCTTCTCCTGTCATGTTTTTTTAGGCCCTTAGTATCTCCATCCCTATGTCTGCACTGGAATTCCCTTTTATGGGTATCCTCTTCAAAACAGCCCAACAGCATAATTCTTTATAGGGTCTCCTGGTAGGTGACATGCCACTTGCTTTTCAGAATAAAGCAACTCTCTTAAAAGCTCTCCTCCCATTACCCAAACATGCACTCACGCACACATACCCTCTCACACTCATACATTCATATATCCCTCACATCTGGTAGCTCGTGAAATCAGGGGTCCCACCCACCAGTTCATTTTGACATTACGGCCACACTTCCCTCCTAGGAGTGGTCACTTTGGAGAAATTTAAGATTCTCCCTGACGTGCTTTTGCAGACGCCGGAAAGGTGAATCAATCCATGAAGATGCTTTGCTCTGGAGCTCCC